CGTGATTGATATCAATAGATATTCATTCTGGAGGATCTAGGCAGAACCTTGTTGGCTAAGCTAGGTTGGTGGAATCGCACATTCTGGTTACCTAGCAACTCAATAATTCTCTGGTTACCTAGCAACGACCTGTTGAGTAACTGACGCAGCAGCAGTTTAAGGTTCTGCCTCTCTGTGTCATAACTGCTTAGAAATACAACAAACAACCCATAGAGTGAAAACTCTTAGATAAAACAGGAAGGTCATGCCACCAGTTTGGCAGCATTTGATATATTTAAAACAATAAACGAATCAGTAATAATCTATCGACTGATATGAAACCTTAGTATTGCGATACATTTTTCAGCCATATCGTCCAGCCCTACGTTCAGACAACGTCAGAAGTGTGCACCTTTTCCAACCAGACAAAAATCAGAGTTTTGTTGGTGGGGGGAAAAACAGCCATAAAGTTTTAAATATATTTTTCTCTGAAGTAAAATTTGTTCCCTCCATAACAAAACACCCCTTAGTGTAAACACATCGGCTGTTATGTATTGAGAACATTTGATTAGTTCCTCTCTAGTTTAACTAAGTCAATTTAGTTATCTGTTCTTTTAAATATTACCCAGAAGCCTAAAGTAATCAATAATTACTGATGTTGATTAATAAGAAACCATTATATCGTGATACATTTTGTGTATCGTTTTCATCCAGCCCTGTTTAGTACTGTAATTTTTTCCCCTTGCTGAATAAACACATTTAAATAAACATGCTTCATTTACCCCAAATTTACATGGAACATTATAAAAGATTAATATGATTTAAGATTTTTACATGTTTACCACAGTGGGTAGTAACTAACTACTAGCTACATTTACTCAATTACTTTTCTTGAGTAACTTTTTTTACATTACTTTTAGGAGTATTTTTACTATTTTTACTATGGTGAACTTTTTACTTTTACTTTTACTTGAGCAGAAATACTCAAGTATTTCTGCTCTTACTTTAGTCAAATTTCTGGATTTTCTACCCACTGAATGAAAAACAAACATGTTTTAACCAATAGTTCACCAGACATACACCTGCAGTTTTTATTAAAGGTTCATAATTCTTTTAAAGATATTGACTTGGAA